TTGAAATCCATACAATCTTAAAGCTGGTGAGTTTGAAAAACATTTATTTAAAGTTAACACTTTAGGCAGCTCTGCCCAGAGGTAAATCAAAAAGTTGCTCTCTGTACACATATATTTCCTACCCTAAACTAATGAAGGGTGCCTATTGTGCATGCACACAAATATATCTGAATACATGTGTTTAACAATATGGTTAGTATACCTTAATAATTTTTCCTATGGGAAGAATTAGCATTAACAGTGTTATACACCATAATTTGCTCTATGAAATATAGTTGCCTAGAACGTTTAAAGTATACATCCCAACCAATGGTGGGATTCAAATTTGTTTACTACCGGTTCTGTGGGCATGGCTTGGTGGGTGTAGCAGAGGAAGGATACTATAAAATCTCCATTCCCCACCCCATTCCTGGGGGAGGTTACTGCAAAATCCCATTCCCTCCCCACCCTGCTAACCTGATTTCCAGCTCCGTTCTCCTGTGCAGAGCAACAAAAGAAGACCCAGACGATCAGCTGGGACTCAATGGAAGGCAGAGAGTAGATGGGGATGGGGGCCAGTCAGAGGTGGTATTTGCTGGTTCTCCAAAGTACTCAAAATTTCCACTACCGGTTCTCTGAACTACTCATAATTTCTGCTACTGGTTCTTCAGAACTGGTCAGAACCTGCTGAATACCACCTCTGATCCCAACATAATGTGTGGATCAACTAAGACAGGGTGTCAAACTCGCTGTGTCACATTGTCGTCACATGACATTTTGTGATGGTTTTCCCTTTGTGGAGCTGGGGTGGGTGTGGCCTGCACATGACACATCCGACCTGCAGGCTGCCAGCTTGACATCCCTGAACTAAGATATATTTGGAAACTTAAGTAATGTTCTTGAGTGTCCATATATAGGAACATTGGGATTAGTTGCTCTATAATACCTGAAATGGACTAATATGACGACAACAGCAATAATAACAAAGAAGAGAATCACATATGATTCATGACTTTTTAACCCAGTCTTACACCTGCATACATAGGAAGTAATGTCAATTAATTCCACGGGACCTGGTGAGGGAAATCTTTATATGATTGAGTTCAGAAACTAATTTATGGTTAAACAGGTCTATAATTTCATTTTCAACAACTTGCAAAATTCACCCAGTGTGTAACTTGTTAATTTCCTAACCCATTTATATCTTATATATCACACTTTGTGGATAATTCATACTTACTTCTCTGGAATCTCATCATCTTCTACACCATCATAAATGTCATCTGATGGAGGTGGCGGAAACCCTGTTTTAAGGGGTTGTGGGGAGAAATAGGGAGAAATGGAGTTTATTAATCAATTCATCTCTTAGTTTCAAATTTTGCAGCAAGAAGAATTCATAAGTACAAAGAATAACAACAGAACAGTTAAAATATAAATACATATACCCTAACACATTTAAGTTTATTTACCATGCATCCAATACATTTCTACTCAGAAGTAGATCTCACTGATCAGATATCCTAGTTCACAGAAGAAATCTTCAGTTTCAGCCTTATCTAAGCTGGGGCTTTGCACACATGTTGGCCTATAGATCTCATCATTCCCACTCTGAAAAGAATGCTGTTCTTCAAAGGAATGAAATCTAAGCTGGCATCTTGTTGCCCATTAAGAATTAGCACATCCTTGGTTCTCCCCTGTGCAATGGAATGTCTTGGATGGGATTTGATACTGGATTAAGTCACATTGAATAAATATCTGGGAAGAGATTGATCAAATGAGTAATATAGCTTGTAGATTCAGTAGTTACCAGTCCTCTCCATTTGCAGCTATTGTTAAAAAAGTTAAAATTTATTTAGTTTTAAAACAAACATGATGATTATGGTTAAGGCTTTATTTTATGCTCATTGTTTAAAGAATAAAAGTGTTTACCCTGAATATTTAGCACAGGGCAATCTTTTCTGACTTTGCTTGGTATTCAGTAAGAGGAAATCAGAGAGAGAGAAGTCTTGATTTGCAAAACATTTTAGTAAAGGGAGCATTAATGTATGCGTTGATTGATTTTTTTTCTTATATGAACAAGTTACTTTCCTATTGTTATAAACTTGAGTCATCATTTTACTCTGAAATATAAGTGCTGAAATGTTATTACAATATCATCTTATTTTCAGATTACTTTCTTAAAATGGAGCCGCTCCCATTCTAAACTACTGGTAATCCATTGTTGATAATCTTGTGTGAATTCAGATATTGGGGTTAATTCTGTCAATCATTATTAAGTAAATCACTGATTTGTCTAACATTCAAACAGATGTAGAAATCTGTTATTGGAATGGCTGACAAACAAACTAAAACGGAAGGGTTTCCAATCTTTTCAGGACAACAATAGTTGGTTGTTCAGTCACAATTGCCTCACATACCTAAAGATAAACAAAGCTTTGCACAATGGCCACTCACCATTTTATTTTCCAAGAATGCCTCTAGGATCTATGTGGGGGCCTCGAGACATTATTGGAAATACAGATTATGCTTCACATGGATCAGTTCTAGTTTCCGTTGTTAAAAAGAGCATCACAAAAAAACAATACAATGCTGGGGATAATTATTATTTCAAAATGTTAATAAAAAGGAGAACTCACCTCCCACGGCACTCTGACTTCCACTTTGCCCATAAAAAACAAACCAAGAAAAACAAAACGTTGAATGCAAAGAAAACCAGATACATTTCCATATACATGCAAAGTGATGTTAAGAGTTGATCACCCTCATTAATTCTTTTTATACTGAAAAGATGTATAACTGTTTCTTGAGAAAATGACAATATTTTCTGGATCAATAGTGATCTTAGGAATTTCAAGACCCTGACATGGGTTAATACAAGGGTGATGTATTTTATACAGAACACCTTTATTTGTACAAAATGCTTACAGATGCTTAATTGATCCATGATTTTATTCCACAGTTTATTGGCACAAAGCTGGTTACATTCTAGACAGTGTTCTAGGCAAACCTAGCCAATGGCTGTTTTAGTGACTGGGTCAGATATAACATGTTTCCTTAAAGTAAACTAAGGCTGTGCAACAATCTGGATTCAAAGGACAAAATGTGTTTTACAGCAATGTTAAAGCATGTCAGCTTTCCATTTATTACCCGTTTGAAATTAAAATATGCAAATTTTTTGGGAAAAGCAAAATTTAGTGGCACCAGTACAGTTGTTATAGTCCTCAGGAAAAAACAGGTTGGGGAGTGTCGAAAAATGTGGAAAGATGAATCAGCATAAGAGGTTGGTCTATACAGAATTAATGGTAGTATTTAGGTCTAGATGGTTCATCACTTTTTCACAAATCTGTGACATACCTGCTGATACTATCCTGGTCTCCAACATCATCGTACACTTCTTGATCACTGTCTGGGTGCTTTGACTGAACATGCATGGGAGGCCGTGGTTTCCTTTTCAACGTATCGTAGTCAATTGCCACCATGGTAGTTTTAATGTAGCCATCTAAAAGAAATATCATTTGGTGATATGGTTGCTTCAGTATAAAAAAATACATCTACGAACTGAAAAATGATCATGCAAAATATATTGTTGTACAGAACAAAGAGGTAGTGAAGTATCCTGCTAATTCAACAGGTGCAGACAATAACTTACCCAAATTAGAAAAATAATTGCTCTGTTTTGCAGATTACCCTCAGTGAGATTATAAATCTGATTTTGGATAGTACCAGGATTCTGTGGCTTATGTTTTCTCCATAGAGAAATAAATAAGACATAGTACATGGATATTAAGCTTATCAGAAGAAAAACTTAATTAGGATCTTTCTCTTTCCTATATTAATTTGCAAATAAAGATTGTACATAATATTTTTCCATTATGTAATCTCTCATCTCTAGTCTGAAGCCAGACAGTCCAGGTACAATTTTATGAATACCAAATGTTAGCATACTAGCCCCTCTTAAGCCCAGCACGTGAGTTACAATCTATGCATTGTACTGGCTTGAAAGGAAAGGAGATAAAAATAAAATTAATGTTAACATTGCTAAGAACGCTATAAACAGAATCTCCCATTAAAAAGTTTTGAGAAGATCGCAGGCTATGATGGTTCAGCTGATCCAAGATCCCAAGAAGCATCCAACACATAATAGCTATGATTTGTATAAATATAATAAATACCAAACTAGATATAAACTTGCACATCAATATAAATAAAGAATACAGTTCTTGGGTAGCATATTCTTATTTCTCTAAATTATAAAGAACTTTTGAAACTGTGTCTTTATTAATATGTGATTTGTACAAATTCTAGCTTAAATCTGAGGTGAAGGGTAGGTGTTTCACCCTGCTTTAGAAGGACAAACCATTTCTTCTTGAAGAGAAAGGGAGGGATTTGAGAGTAACTGCCTTGTCTTTGTGAGCTAGCATTTGTTCCTTCTGAATGCTTATAGTCCATGTTTAAGATGGGTGAATGAAGCTATCAATATCATTCATTACCAACAAAACTCAAGTGTTTATAATCATATCACCAAGAGCCATGGTGGCTCAGTGGTTAGAATGCAGTTCTGCAGGCTACTTCTGCTGCCTGCCTGCAATTTGGCAGTTCAAACCTCACCAGGCTCAAAGTTGACTCAGCCTTCCGTCCTTCAGTAAAGTTTGGTAAAATGAGGACCCAGATTGTCAGAGGCAATATGCTGACTCTGTAAACTATTTAGAGAGGGCTGTAAAGCACTGTGAAGTGGTATATAATTCTAAGTTGCTATTGCTGTTAGAATTTCTCGCAATTCTAGAAGTGGGATGAGCAAGAACAGCAATGATATGGCAGGAGAGGCATGTTTTGGGTCCTCTCAGTTAAGGGAGAGGACCCAAAAGATGAACTGTTTCTGCCATGGCAAGGCCATGAGTTAAGGTTGGCCCCAACCCTTACAGCCTTCCTGAAGGCCCTAAAAATGTGTGTGTGTTCATCTGGCAGCAGGGAGCCTGTCCTTTGGCTGCCATGTATAACATTCTGATTTTGATAAGATCTTGTTCTTATTTATGTTTAAGTATTTATGTGTTTTAAATGGTTTTATAATAAGTTTTGTTTGTTTTATTGTACACTACCCAGAGTCACCATGTGTGAAATAGATGGCCCAGTAAGTAAGTAAATAAATAAAGAAAGAAATGCAATACATAAATAAATATAATGTATACAGAAGCAAATGCAGAGATCCTTGGGAAAATTCAGATTCTTTAATCATTATGTTAGCATAAATTCTCTTAATTTCCACACATTACAGTATACCTACATGAGCCTTTAAATCTTCCCAGCCATTTCCCTTCTGGATTGTCTGTGACACGAAGTATTTCAATTAGATCTCCTTGTCTGAATGACAGATCATACTTTCCTCCTTTAAAGTCTGTGGAAGCTCGTGCCTGGTGAATAACTTCAATGGGACCTTCTAGCTACATAAAAGATGAAGATACGTAATTAGGTTTTAGTACTTAGAAAGAGTGAGAGAAAGAGAAAACGAAATTGTAGCATGAAAGATAATACTAAAGATAATAGTATAATTTTAGAACGTGTGTGTTATGAGAATGAGACCTCTCCACCAGGGGTGGGATTCAAATTTTTAAACAACCAGTTCTGTGGGCATGGCTAGGTGGGCGTGGCTTTTTTTTTGCAGCACCCCACCCCCGTTTTTTTTTGCCTCCTGGACCTCAGGCAAGCCTTCTGGGGGAGTGTTTTTGCTCCCAGAAGGCTTCCCTGGGGCCCAGGCAGAAGGCAAAAAACAGAGCACAGAGGGGACCCACCTCCCCCCCGCACATCCCTTTTTGCATCCTAGGCCTCAGGGAAGCCTCCTGGGTGAAGCAATTCATCAGAACAACTGATCGTCAGGAGGGGGGGGAAAGAAATACCTTAAGGAGTGACTGGGCAGGGGAGAATGCAGTCAGCGATGTCGGGCATGCGCGCGATGTCACACATGCGCTAAGGACTGACTGGGTAGGGAGGGGAGGGGTGGGCAGAGAGGGGTGGGGCCAGCCAGGGGCACAATTTGCCGGTTCTCCAAACCGCACAGAATCATAACAACCAGTTCTATAGAACCGGTCTGAACCGGTGAAATTCCACTCCTACTCTCCACCCCATAGGTTTTATGCACTCTCCCTTTCCTGTGGTAAATCTGCAAGAAGAAGATTAGAAGTTCTGCTTTGATAACCTCACTTGGTTGTATCCTCTGAATCAAGGTTTTTTGTTTTTTTTTTAAACTAGCTGAGCGGAAAATTCAAGTGGGAACAAAATTTTGGTAGTGTTCTTCCCTCCTTCCTTAGAATGCGGTGGAAGGACACTCAGTTCCCTTTTGAATATGCATGAGATGACAAGGATATTGAGAGGGTTTTTTTTTCAAACAAAAATACCTGACATGCTTACATAAGTATAAGGCTCTATTCAGATATTGATCTGGAGCACTTCCTAGAATGCTGGGTTTCTCCTTCTTCTTCAATAGAATAATAAAGACAAAAGGATCCAGCATTTGATTCAGTAGACTATAACTATTGTCTACCTATTTATTGAATGAGCTAGTTTTGTTATTTTTCAAGGGTGTAAATAATGAAGAAAATGTGCCAGTTAAGTTTAACATAACTACTTAAACTACTCAATTAAACTAATTAAGTTTAATTAGTAAATTAACTTATTACTTAATATCTGGGTGTGATTTGAGGGAATCAAAAATCAAAAGAACAAATGAAATGGCAATTTCTGCTAGATAACTTGTGATAAGGCCATCAGATACCCATGGTACAAAATATTCCATGGTCTCCACCAGGTTCTTTAAATCCTTTTAATTAAAATTATAAATGAAGAAACAACATGCTAAAAAGTCACCTTCATTTCCATAAATTCCTTTGGCTGCCACATAAGTTCCAGAAATATTTTCAGAACATAAAAATTGCTGGGGTTGGAGGCTGTGCTTTTATGTGGAAAAGGAGCAAATGTCAATGGAGTTAATAGAGAGCATCTTGGAAATCTAGAAGTTGTGGGAAGATCAACTTCATTGATGGACCTTAATTAGAAGTTTTGTAGTAATTAGAGGTTTTGTGACCAAACCCAACTTTACCAGAAGACAGCCATTTTATGAAAACATACAACATGATCTCAAAATTCCAGACATTCTCTCTTAGCTGCTTGTATCTTTTGATTATTTATAGTTTATCATATTGCTCTATCAATATCTGCTGAGCCCTCGTGGCACAGTGATTAGAATGCAGTATTGCAAGCTAACTCTGCCCACAGTCTGGAGTTCAATTCTGACCAGCTCAAGGTTTCCTCAACCTTCTGTCCTTCTGAGGTTGGTAAAATGAGGACCCAATGCAGTATTGCAAGCTAACTCTGCCCACAGTCTGGAGTTCAATTCTGACCAGCTCAAGGTTTCCTCAGCCTTCTGTCCTTCTGAGGTTGGTAAAATGAGGACCCAAATTGTTAAGGATAATATGCTGACATTGTAAACTGCTCAGAGAGTGCTGTAAAACAGTACAAATCAAAATTCTATTTCTATCAATCTGGTTAACTCAATTGATTAAGCAGGCATTAAAATATTAACTTTTGCTATTAAGTAAAAATATCAAGTGGCTATTTTAATAACTTTAAAAATGCAGAACATATAATTATAGACTGGAAGGGTCCTTGGGGTGGGGTGTCTTCTAATCCAACCCCCTGCCCAAGGCAGAACACATTATACCATCACAGTCAAATGGTTGTCCAATATATTTTTGAAAACCTCCAGTGATGGAGTGTCCATAACCCATTGATCAATAAATGTATATATTTATTCCAGTTCTTTGCATGACTTTCTTGAAAGAAATTTTACCTTGAATTTTTTTCTGAGTTCTTGCTCCTTTTTATCTTTATCCCTTTGTTCTTTCTTTTGATCAGATTTTTTCTTTTCCTCCTTCTCTTTCTTTTTCCCCTCTTCTTGTGGTTTAAATCTGCACAATAAGAAGGAGAAGACTTAATACTTAATATTATAATATAATACATTATTATAAGGAGACTTAATACTGCTGATGAATTGCCCCCAAAGGTTTTTTTTAAATTTTATGGTTCTATTTGAGGTGCAGCTCATTGTTTTTAAGAAAGGGGGAGACTTAGCAAGATCTTTGGAATCAGGTGATATGTCCCATCTCTCTTTCCTCAAATCAACATTTCTGAGGGGCGTTTTAGAAAACAAAAAATTACCATCAGTGGAAAGAGTTTTTCAAAATGTCTATTAAAATAGGAAGTGTGTGTTTGGGATGAGGGGATGTTGACTACCAATCTACTGAAGTTAATAAATCTTGCTACTGCTTACATCTGCTATTTTGATATTCTAAATAGGGGATTTTGTACCAACGTTTCCTGTATACAACCTCACATTTACTGGAAAGACCAGTAAATTGAGTAACAATCTGTTTTCTTAATCATCCTGATAGTCAATCAAATCCAGTATTTTATAACCAGCCAAACTCCAAGGCCTAACTGCTTTTGGGTTATCCCAAAATATCTTCTGATTATGCTATCAAACTTCAGAGATAAATTTGCCAAGTTCTCCAGCTAGCTTTAAAGCTGCTGTTAAAACCCTCAGAAAGGAAAGCTTAACAAAAAAGAAGGAAGGAAGGATGAATTTTGCAATATTCTGTTTAATGTAACTTTACATTAAAAATAGTATTGATGCTCCTGGTTGTGGTTTTTGTCTGGGCTATCTTGAAGGGCTAACATCTATCTTGCAAGACTTAGTATTTTCCTCTTTTTTTAGTCTCCAGAAAACCAGAGAGGGTCCCTTCTGAAACACTTCTCAGGGTTTTCCCCCATTTGCAAACCAAGTTGCCTCTTATCAGACCATTGCTAAAGTTGCAAGCCTTCCTTCTACCCTGTTACACACACTCCCCCAGTACCTTCCCCTCCACTTGTAAATGGGAGATTCTGACCTGACCTAACCCCCCTACAAAACCTACATTCAGATTGTGACCAGATTGTCTGCTTGCATAGGGCAGACAATCTTCACATGATGCAATGGATCGGATTTCAGATCTCCTGATTTTTTTTTAAAGAAAAGGTAAACAATCATGGTGCAGCCTGAAAATGGACACAATGAATAGTCAAATAGAACATTTATACTTTTGCCCATTTAAAGCATTCATAATGAAATTCTTTCTAGCCTTTTGCAATTCAAGAAATATTGATATAGCTAAAAGCAAATTGACTTATTCATGGTCAGAGCACAAGCCTCTAAAATGTGCAGGAAAAGAAAAGTCATGGATGATCAGGATATATTGGACATTGGTAGCCAGAATTCATGCCTAGAATGCCTCAAGTGGAGCTTTACATTTTCTTTTGGATCTCTTTGCATATAACTTTTAATTGTGGTCATTATTTAATAATAGCTGCGATTATTATACTATGATCAGAGGCCCACTTTGTATATCTTTTTCATACCTCATCTCATTTATGTCTTCATACATTTCTCCATCACTGTTCTGATTTTATGAAAAGGAAAAGAAGTTTTAGTTTTGATTGAAAATTAAGAATAGTGAAAATATATATACGTATGCATATATGCATATATTCACAAATGCACGCGCACACACACACAGAGTATTCTTGGTATGTTCTAAACTTTAATTTTATATACCATTATATACCATTATATCAACCTATATATATGCCCTGATATGAGAGTTTTCATGGTGGCAAGAGAAGTGGCATGGAAATGGCTGCTCAGCAGGCATTCCTGTAGTCAATCTGTGGGAGGCTTCATCAGCTGCACCCTTCCATACTCAAATTGGACTGGGGATATTTACACACCTGACGAGGGCAACAGCTCTCCAGCTGTCATGGCAGGTTCAGCTAAAGAAGTGAATTCCCCCTTTTTTCCCCTCCCAAGGTAGAAGGGAAACAAGGAGGTGCCTCTTCAGCATCATCCATGGCAAGAGAAGTAGAGAAAAGGCCTCAGTTTTCACAGAGTGATCATTCTACGGCGGTGTCTCTCAACCTTGGCAAGGCTGGTTGGGAAATTCTGGGAATTGAATTGAATTAAACTTGTGAAGGTGGAGAAATACCGCTCTATGGGTTGGAAGAATGATAGCCAAAGGTTTGTATGTCTTTCATCAGTTTCATCACTGAAGCACAAAAGGGTTGGGAGTCTAGTTAGCACTTCTTTAAGCTGTCATACTGTCAAGAGCCAGGGAAATCAGGAGATTCAGACAGTTCAAATGAATATAAAGATTTATTGCAAGCTTAAGCTCTCTACAAGAATTTGAGCTACTAATGGTCAAGGGAAATTCACAGGAGTTAAGAATAGAAAGGAATTAAAGGTGGGATGGACTTAGATCTCTTGTGGGTTTGCAGGGACTCAAGATGTATTTGATCCTTCCCTTCAGTTCAGCCTGGTCATCTTCTACACATACTTGTTGTCTGTCACAATGGCTAGCAACATCTCAGTAAGTCTACAAAAACTAGTAAATTGAATTCATAAAGTGCATCCTTGATCATCTGTATAGTCTAATCCAGCATTTTGTTTCTAAGAATAGTCATCCTTAAAGTGGCTTCCTATAAAAATGTCTATGAGTTTTCAAAGAATAAAAGGCAACGTATGGATACAATAAATAATCATTTTGCAGTGAGTAGAATTCTTTATAGAATTCTTTATTGGCCAAGTGTGATTGAACACACAAGGAATTTGTCTTGGTGAAAATGCTTTCAGTGTACATAAAAGAAAAGATACATTCATCAAGAATCATAAGGTACAACACTTAATGATAGTCATAGGGTACAATAAGCAATCAAATCATACTAGGAAACAGTCAATATAACAAGAGCTATTAGAGAAAATGACTACAAAGAAAACCCAAGGTTATATACATTCGTAGATTATGAAGAGCAACACTTACTTCATCTGCATTTCCAGTATCTAATGGATAAAAAGCCAAAAACAATTGCATTAAATTATTTTGCAGTCTAGCAATCAAAATACCAAGTCATGGGTAACCCTTGTTAGCTAGTGGTGTATGGGGAGATTGTGGGAAGCAGGACGGGAAGGAAGGGAATCCAGGGGGGTGGGAGGCTTGTATAAAAGCAATGATGTCATGCAAATTCTGTCTGTTTTACCCTACTTTGAGATGTTCCATGCATGGCCCAGAGAGATGGACTTGTGATACAATTCTATGACACCACTTTTAATTATACTTCTTATATTCTTTATATATGCCACAATAGTTCTATGCAGGCAGCAAGCTTCATCTAAATCAAATATTAGCTCATTATATGACATGAATGCTGCAATGGAGCATGACTTGTATTAATCCTTGTACTTAATCTGAAAATCCCCTTCATTTTTAATTACACTATTGTTTATCTTACTGAGACTCTGCATGCTTCAAAAATCATTTGGAAAATGTGATTTGGATCCTATCATAGTGGAAAAGACTAGATTTAGACAATTTATATGCTATCCAGTCTGTTTCTGATACTGTTTATTCAATCTATATGAAAACAGACTTAGCTATGAGAGACCTTGAAGTAGAAGTTGGACCCTGTAGGTCCTTCTTCATTATCTCTAAATGAACAGGAAACCAAGGAAACAGCACACATGTCAGGGCATTCTAAGATGGGAAAGTCAGTGAATTAAGATATCACATTTTTGTAACTGCATACGCAAACATTGAAGTTGGCTTATAGAGTATGATTGTCAATATATTTGAGCCCAGAATCACAACTTATTTCTCATTTGTTATGGATCCCATACATTCTTCTCACTTGTCCTCTGTGCATGTCAATAGGCTTTCTTACCTTCTGAACCAAATCCAATATCATCATAATTTTCTTCATTTTCTTGGCCCCTACAAAACAAAAAGTGAATTTGTTAAGAAAAAGAAGAAAATCCATTGAAATATATTTTCATTTTAAAATGAAAGTCCGTTCTGTTTTATAGGAAACCTTTATTGGAAAAGGTTTAGCTAAGGTTTAGCTGCAGTCTGTTTTTATGTTTTTAATCACACAATGTGGTTCTTTTTCTAGGAAGGGCTCTCATGTTTTTAACACTTGCACTTGCAGAAATTGAACAAAGACTATTTTCCACATTATTTCCATGCTGGAAAAAAAACTATTCTTAGTACAATTCTGCCTGCCATAGTAGCCGCACTAAAACAAGATCCACCCAGTCCTGAGCCCCATATTTTATGCATAAACAGGACAATTTGAAATCAGAAGATCATGAGTTTTAGTTGTGCCTTAGCATAAAAGCCAGCAGTGTGACTTTAGACCAGTGACATTCTGTCAGCCAACCCATCTCACAGGGTTGTTGTCATCAGAAAATAGGAGGAAAGCACATTAGATATATTTGTCACTTTGAGATATTTACAACAATAATAAGGATGGTAAATCTATCCATTCATCTATCCATCTATCCATCTATCCATCTGTCCATCTGTCCATCCGTCCATCCATCCATCCATCCATCCATCCATCCATCCATCTATCTCCCCTAAAAATAGCCTTTTATTGTCACAAGATAATAGTTCATATACAATGTGATTCATCTGATATTGGCTTGGCATGTTGTGGCTTTATAAACCATTACTTATGGCTCAGCATGTTGGGTGAACCTAGTGAAGTATATCTTGATTAAGAAATCTTTATGAAACAGCCATAACTTTTTGCTGTACATAGCTTATTGTAGCTGTTTATTGTAGCTTCCTGTGATAAATACCAAAACTTATGGGCTTCAGTATGAGCGCATGGAGAAGATGTTTCAATGAAGAGAAGAGATTCTTCTCACTTTTTAAGAAGAAAGAAAATATGGAAGAAGGACTATAATTCACAACTATGTACCTGAAATCAGGTCTGGATGGGAGGTTGTCCCGTGGGGGGAGAACAGGAGTTTGTGTTGATGGACGAAAACCTGGAGGAGGGGGAGGAGGTGGTGGGGGTGACAATAAATCTGTAGACTGTCTGGCATGAATGGGTGGCGGAAGCGGGGGAGGCAAACCCGCTGAATTGGATGAACTGGAACCTGGAACAGAAACAAGAGACACTTAATGTATATGAAATCATCATCAACATTCCTTCCCATATTGCTAGCTCTGCAGTCTGCGTGGCACATATTTTTATCAAATCAGATGCTGATTAATCCATTGTGCTTTTGCATAACTTCGGCTTTGGATAAACTGGCCATATTCTAATAATTACAGTTTACCATGTGTATGTTCATGCATGCTTTCATTCTTTCCTGTACTCCAGAAAACAAAGAAACTCTGGAATATATATATATATACATATATACATATATACATATATACAATATACATACACACACACACACACACACACACACACACACACACACACACACACACACACATATATATATATATATATATATATATATATATATATTCTTAAGTTTTCGTGGGTACTTACTTGTATGGTATTCAGCTTTGTTTGGGTATTTTCCCAC